AAAAAGAAATAAGCAGGAACAGATCATTTTGAATGTTAAAAAAATTGTTCTCGGTATATTGCTATTTATTGAAACAAGTTGCATTCATGGTATATATATTAGGGGCAAAATAATAAGTCATCCCATAAATAATGCGATTTTTTTATATTTCTAGTGTTTCTAAAAATAAAGATAAACAAACCTTTTTTCAAAGTAATTATGTTTTAGATTAAAAGCAGATTTGTTTATCTTTATTCCTAAAAATAAAAGAAATATAAAAAACCGCATTATTTATGGGATTACACAATACATAATACCCCGGTGATTATGTATAATTATTCTCCGATGTTATTGGCGATTATGTATAATTACCAGGTTATGTATAATTTCGGGATTAATTGAATTTACCGTGTCATATGCACGCAATAAGATGCTAAAAATATTTAGCAATGTAATTGAACTGCATGTAGCAATGAACTTTGGGACATTTATCACGTCCAAGCATGTACAACATTCGAATACTTTTGTTGCTGACTGTATGTGTATATCTATGTCTAATACATCATGACTAACCCACTGTGTATGAAGGAAATCGGGCCGCAGAAAATTATTTTTTTCCAATAGGTCGAGCAATGATCGAGTAAACAACGAAAAGAAACAGAACTACGAACAACGATGCTCCGAAAGCTCAATTGCTCGAACGATAAAACTTTATCAGTCCGCGCACTATAGTTTAGCATTTTCTATGTCACGTTTTAGCGGCAAAACAACTATCATTTCACGTGAGCGATCCTTACATAACAATATCCACGCGCGCATCGTAATCGTATAATCGGTCCAATTATTTACATCGCGATGGTACCTTAATGACCATTGCTTCGTTTTACGTTCAATCTTCCTAATTGTTTCATCTTCGTGTTTGGCCAGTTATTGTCAGATGTTTGTTTATTCCACAGCTGGGAGCAACAAACACGCGCAATGCTCGATAAAACACAATAATGCCAATCGAGCTATAAATAAAACGTGAAACGAGACAGTTTACAGGAGTATCTACAATATGTACAAAGCAGAGGATATTTGAATAGCTTGTCAGCGGTAAGATTAGCCGTTAATGAATCATCGACATCCGAACGTGGCTGGCGTTTCTCTAAATCCGATGGAAGCCTTATCCATCGTGGTCCTTATCTCTCGCGTGTTAGGGAAAATTCATATTTGCTATTTAACGTGAAATGTAATTAACGCAGTAGGACTCCTTATAACGCTATTAAAAGATTCTTGAAAAATAAGTGTAAAAGTAAGATTCTTCATAAGAAAATAATACAAGCAGAAGAAGAAGTTGGATCAGTATCCAAAAAGCGAACTTAACGCGAGATTCGTTAACGTGAAATCGTTTTAACCTGTTAACTGTGGGATTTAGTTTCAAAAATCAAAAAATGTACTTGTCAAACGCAGAACGAATACACCTACAGTATATTTTTATAAAAAACCAATGCAAAAGAAACAAGAATTACATGTTTATCTAAAACAGTAAAGAATTCATCATTGAAAGAATTATATAGTATCATTTCAAGCTTTTAGATGGCGTGTGTACTCGTCAAACGCGGTAAACTGGTTAACATAGAATTTTTTAATCGCGTTATACGAGGTTTTACTGTAGGACTACCGAGTAACTGAATTTACTTTTTTTCGTTTTCGATAATTGTAAAAGAAGAATTTAGGAATGGGTCATTTTGACCCATTTGGTAATTCTAGTGTTAAAAAGCCAAAGACAAACGAGGAGAAGTCTGGGAACAATAAGACCCATTGTTCGGCGAGACATTCGCTAAATAATTCCGTGTGTCGAAACGATAAACGAGGAGCTCTTAGTGAATTAATTTTTATCGATTCCCGTTACACGTATCTTTGCGCAGATAACGCGTCGTGATCAAAGAAAACATATTTTCTTTTTTAATTCTGCATCGAGACACGTGTGAATCAGAAATAGGGCAATTCCGAGTGAAAAAAATACTTTCAATTTTCTTGATTGGTATACTGAATCTTATACAAAAACGTATTTAATTATTCTTCTCATATAGGTATACTTGTTTTTATAAATATATTTTATTTTGCATTAGTTATCAATAATGTTTACAATGTTATAGTTCTTTTTTAAAAAGCGGGCCATCTCTAATCTACACTCTGTGAATTATTGGATGTTTACTGGATACCATTTTTATGCCTATTAATTTTTTAACGAAACATTACGTAAACTGTTTGCTGTGATTGCAAAGTGAAACTGTCCGATTGCTTTTTCTTTCTTTCCCCCCTTTATTCGGGAGATTAATTGAAATCAACGGTTTGGGATGAACACGATAAAACGTTTTACGTCATTTGAGCCAATTGCTTATTCGCGTTATCCGTGTTTACGTTCTTTTTAAATTGAAGGTTTTTTTTACGGAGACGTCGCGAGAAACGTTTGTGAAGCGAACAATTGTGTCACACACGCATCACCGTCTACCCTGTTAATGATGTCCGCTTTTATTAAATTCGTACGTCACGAAACCTATCGCGTTTCTAAATTTCCTTTCTGTGGTTTTTTTACCACCACGACTATAAAGCTAGTCGCACGTGAACGATATAAAAAGGTTCGACAAAATTTCCTGTTGAAGATTATAACAAATTATCACGTCTAGCGGAAAGTTTCTCGGCAATTTAATAAAGTCACCTTTGAACCGCGTAAGCTTAATCCGCATATTGATTTTCGTTTGAAAAGTCTGTAAAACTGTTCAACCGTTCGCTGTTTGTATTTATTATGTATTTCGAAATTCTAAATTGTACCCTTACGTTGTAAATAAGATTTTAGATGCTATTTAGAACATGTTAAATGTGTTAAAGACTTAATTTTAATGTTATATTCTATTGTAAACATTCAAATACAATATTGAAACAGTTAATCTTGTATGCGAATAATTATTACTTATGGAGTAGTGCTTATTAAATTAAGTGCAATCCTTTTTCCATGACTTGTGCAAACAAACAACCTAAAAAATACGTACAATAAAATATGACTGATTCCTTCAGAATACTCTAAACTGTATATTTTCAATTTCTATTACCTTCCATTTTTCTGCGCAATCCAAGATGAAAACTAGCGATCTACTTCCTTACTTTAATCCGTGAGATCGTTCGAAAATTACGTGTCGTGGAATTGGCTGAGTCTAGACATCACAATCAATTTATAAAAATGATTGCACGAAATGCAAGCTCGTTTAGATAACGAGTTGCAGCGATGCACACGCGATAAATCGTTCATATTTAACACAAGCAGAACGTTGTAGATATGCAACGTCCTCTGGTATATTGTGCTAATCATAGTCTGACCCCTCGCATAAGCGAATATACGTCTCGTACCTATGATTATATAATGATATAAAACAAGTTTCGTTGTAGGGTTCCCAGCTGAGAGGGAAGTGATTGAATGACGGATTTCCTTCGGTTGTAGGACGCTATACATAAATAATGAATGGTCCAGGGTGCACACAGCCTCTGCATTAACAACTACTTTGGCATTGAATCATTTCCATGGGGACCTTTTCATTGGTTATGTTAATATGTACTTAACAAGTAGATCCATATTTCCATCAAACTGACGCTTTTTTCGAGAGAATTAGAAACTGATCATATCTAAATGGCATTGTCAAAAACACAAATTGACCGATTAAAGATGTCGTGGATTACTGGTTTAATTAATAAGAATTAGAAAAACCGTGTACAATGAACAATTATTGGTACAAGGTGTTTTTACACAAATATATTAATTCATTACATTATCGTATGATTACGGTAAATTAGTATTTATGTTAACCGAAATTAAAGACGTATATTTTAATATTTTCAGCTGTTTTTAGCATCTTTTGTAGAAAGCAGAAAAACTGAAAAAGTATTTTCACTACGAACAACGTTGATAATTAAGGATTATTGTAAAATAAATTACAAATTTTAAAATGAATGGTATACTTAACAAAGAATAAAGGAACCATATTACATAAATTATAGACTACCCAAAGTATATAGAATTTTTGTAGTAATAAGTATTTGAGTATTAAATTATTTCCATTAAAAACATTTCAGTAGTTTTATTAATATGTAATCACACAATTAATTAATGTTTTTCGAGAACATTAATAAATAATAAATTATTTTTCTTCATACTAACAATTATTTATAAAAGAAACAAGAACTTACAGTATTTTAACAACAAGTGATCAAAAGGTTATTTATAATTATAGATACCTTAGCAACAAATTGTGGATTACTTAATAATGCACTAAACAAAAGACAAAGAAACTACATTGCAATTTGATTTTTGCATATATTTCATTGCTCATTGCATGTTATTTGAATACAGCATTTTTTTTCTAGAATAATAATGCATTTATCACGGCTACCATTGTCGAGAGAACGGCAATGTTAACTTAACAATATATATACATACATACTTACATACATACATACATA